CTCAACTCAATTCAATTAGTGCTAATGAGATAAGTAAATATTTGGCTTTTCGCTGTTTATGGCCAATAATAACCCTGCATAAAATTTGCAGATGAAAAGTATTTCACTCAAAAAAATGCTCAGACATGACTCACATGTCAGAAATTTTGTTTTGCATATTTAAAAAAAATCATAAATTTCTTTCTTTGGAAGTGAAGCTGACTGTAAACACTTTTTTATGAATTTCAGATCCGTGTCTTTCTTTCTGAGGCTTGATCATTGTTGTTGTCGCGTGAATAATTCATTACTTGAAATTTTGGGGATAACTGATTGAATTGATGATTTTTTTTTTGTGCTGATCAGGATATTGAATAAAATTTTAATTTAAAGTGAATGGAAGTTTTTCTGCTAATTAATTTTTTGCATCTGCATTTTAAAAATTTGATGATTAAGGAGCTTGATCTTTATTAATGACACATAACTTTCGATTTCTAGTTGTTGCACAAGAACTAATGACGCTGTTGCAAACAGTTCCAGACTCAAATCTCGTCATACAAAATAAGCGGAAGTAAACTAATCATCATTGACGTCACAATACCTTTTCTGCCTTTAAAAATCACAAACACAATAAATATTGCAATCCAAATAAAAAGTTCCAGACAAAAAGTGACAATGACCAAGATAACTTTCATAAAACAAACAAGCATCACACCTACCTTAAAGAATTTAACACTTTCATCTGACATGAGGTGCTAACAGGCTGAAAAATTACCATCGACAGCAATAAAGATAATGATCTGACCCAATAACATGAATGAACTTTAAGAGAACTGAAATTTACTTGACTATGCAGTGATTTATTCTACAGCACGTAATGTAATGAAACACAGTCAAGTAAATTAAGCTCATAAATTGCCTTACTTGATCTACAAATCTAAAAAGTAAACAAACTCAATTAGAACTTTATAAATTGTCAAGATCAAAGCTTTTAATTTCTCGTTTTTTTTTTGTTTTCTTTTCCACACTTTTATTACCTTTTACTTCATCTTTCTATTCTATAACGTTTCTGAAGATATTTCCAATCGAAGTTCTTTAACAGTTTATTTTTTACTTCTTCTAGAGATGGAGAGAGACTCTCATTAGTTATTCTCATTTCTCCATTGGGGATTGTGTGTTTATGAGGTTGGTTGGGGATTTTTTTTTTAGCACCTTCTCCTTAAGTGCCATGTCCAAATTTATTTGAATGTTGCAATGATTCAAGAAGCCCTTCAATCCTCATAATGTAGACATCATTCCAGAATAACCCCCAGCATCTATTCTTAAAAACAGCACCAAACATGCTCAATTCCATATTCTCAGATGTCGTGCTGATCTGATTGCATAGCAATAGCTTTACGTCCGCTGAATTATTTCTATGCTTCCCTAATTATCCAACTTTGCTTTGTCTCTTCTTCATTTTACTATCCATAATTTGCTCACAAAAAAGTTTTAATTAATTTTCATGAATAAATTCTATTTTTGGTGTACGAATAGAACAACAACAACAACAGCAATAATCAACTGCACAAGAAGTAAGCGCGATGAGAGAGAAGACAGAGAAGAAAAAAAATTTCTTTTTTCACACATTTCTTCTTCATTTCATTTCATTAAGTTTGCTTTTTTCTAGCTGATATTTAAAAATATATTGGAATGAAAAGAGTTAGTTGCTGGATGGACGTTGCTTCGATTGGATGTGCCTTGTAGTGAAATAAAAATAAATAATCAAAGTGAATTTTTAAGTTGAGGTAAATTGAATGAGAAAAAAAAGTAAATAAGCTGTGCAAAAGAACACAAAAAAACGCAATCACTACAATCACAGTTATTAAAGTCCAGAACGGAATCAAATTATGAGACCTTCTTGACAATGATTTGTGCACGAAAGCATGCGATTAAAATTTGTCAGAATTTAAAATTGTTAACCCGAACTGCACAAGTGCTTTGAAAAATCAGTGTTAAGTTCCCTAAAATAATAAAGTGACATACCTACGAATGGAATAAGACAGAATTAATAATGTGCGAATTAAAATGCAACACAGAATTTAAATCAGTTATGAATGAGACACAGAATTGAAGTTTTAGTATGAACTAAATAGTTTCGACGAAAAGAAAATTGAGGATGTAAATCAAGTTTTGTTTTTGGTGACACAAAAATTTCTGAATTAGTCATAAAAGAAGATATAGAAAATTTATTCAGCCTAAATGTATGCGAAATGTGCAAATTTTATTGGAGAAATTTTTTTATAATCAGCTGATAAGGAAGTTGAATGAAAGAATAGTTGGACTACTTTTGTGTCTTTTAGGAAACAATGTTGCTGGTATTAATGGAATAGTTGGAATACTTGTTGCTTACTCTTTGTATAAATTACATAAGAATGTCTCGTATTTACATGCTGTTTAAGTGATGTTGATGTTTATACATTATTGGTCATTAAGTAAATGAATCTCTTCTTGTTTTGCAACATATGAATCCCTAGGGAATCTCCTAGTTCTATCATTGTACTTTAGATGAAATAGATTTATTAACGTTTTTCAATTCTCGCTTGCCAGGGTGTAGCTAGTGATGAAACTAGGGCAATGACTCCCAAAAATTTCAATTAAAAGGGCGTTAATTTTTGACTCGGCTCCGTGTGACAAAAACCCTAGCTTATCTACTATTTGCCATTTTTTCTAGCCAGGGAAATAGCCAAGTATTTAAAAGGGGTAATATATTGTTTTAAATCTAAAATTTTAGAGGTTAGGGGATTTTTGCGAATTTTCATAAAAGCCCTAGCAAATTGAAGAAATTTCGGATTACGAAACTGATTTGTCCTCTAAATCCCTCCAATAGCTTAGCACCTGTTTCTAGAAGAATTGCTATTGTAGATTTGCAGGATTTAATAGTCCAATTTGAAGCTACAATTCAGAGAATAATTAAAATCACTAATTATAGCTAATAGACTTACCAAAGTATTTATTAACAGCGAAGGATATCAACCTAGATGCAACAAGCTGCAAGCTTGATTATCAAGATAAAGTAACTTAATCTTCAACTCCCACACTGCTTTAGACGATCTCATTTTAATATGAAAATCTTGTCATATCAAAGTCCCATTTACTGATATTAGCTAATTGTAGAGCTCTCAAAAGTAAACACTTTCTTCATGCCTACTAGTCATTACATCAAAGTTTGCGCATATTGAGAGATTATTACCTAAAGTTTGCTTATATTCAACACAGATTTTTTTTTAAAAAAAAAAACCATTCATTTAAATTGCCTCCAAAAATTCAGTATAAGTACACATGTGAATGAACACTTCATCATTTTAATAATCCTCAGAAAGGAGTCCACTTTACAGTTGCTTAAATAGCTTATACCGTATGAGAATTATTTATTCCCAAAAATGATGAATTTTTAAACATCTCCAAAATGTACATCCAATTATATGAAAAATCAGGAATAAAACTCCAAAAACAGCTTTAATCTTTATTGATGATTCACGCACAAATGAAATATCGCCAAATATAGTAAAACCTTCGTGATGCAAGGTGCATCATATACAGTCCGGATCTGAAATTTTCAATCCAAATTCACCAAAACCTGTTCTTTATTTTCTCATTCTTTTATTTCGAAATTTTATTTTGTAAAAACAAAAGTAAAATGGTTCATTGGAAGTAAGAAAGAATTCCACGAAAAAAGAATAAACAAACAAACGGAAAATAAATTATTCAATTCTTGAATTCTTTTCGTGATTTGCTAAAAATTTCTATTATTCCATAATGTTCGTGGTTCATTATGTATTTTAGATAATCATGTATGATCACCGTTACACCATCGTAGTGCTTTTTTTGGAGTTTCTATTTCTTCTTGTACATAGATTGAGTCATCGAATTGTGTATTGTAAATATGGATGAATAATAAGAGAAATTACAAGGAGTTTGATGACTCAGGGGGATAATTAAGGGATGTGTTGGTTGTTTGAGGATATCGTACAAAACTATTTGAAGTTATAAAACAATTTGAAGTAAGGAATCATGTTTGCTGGGGCTATGGTCTAAAATGGAGTTTATTGCTAGCTTTGGATAACTTTTTGGGAGGTCTTTAGCCTTTGAGGAGGGTTTGGACGTTGTATTAACATTTTTTGCTCAAATAATCCTAGCGGATTTCAGAAGCTTCTTATCAAACAACTGATTACACCTGTACTTCCCAGACTAAGTCCTTAACCAGTCAATCTTAATCTCCTTACTACGACCCTGTCGTCAACCTATATAAAAATTAAAGAATGTATGTACAGCACCAACCCAAAAAACGAAGAAATATAGAAATAAATTGAAGATCTTTCACTCTCAAGTAAATATATTCAAATTAAATGTATTTGGGTTTTATGGCACATTCTTTGCGCTCATTCAAGTCTCTTTCTCTTCTCGCTACTGACCTGATCGCGACATCTTCTGAAATTCTGTCTCGCATCTTCATCAAATTAATATTTAAATATTTTTTTTTGTAGTCACATTAACACAAAAATATTCCGTTAAATTCCTTATTTATTATATTATTTTTTTTTGTCTTTTCTTTAATTTCCCTTTGAGGCATTGTCGTCGAATCATAAAAAGTGCGATTTTATTGCCATACCAAATTTAATCGTCACATTAGTTGAATTTTCATTTTCACGCTTAACTGTTAATCGAAAAACATGCGCACAGACATAAACGGAAGAAAGTGCAAATATTACAATTTTTTTAGCATGTCAAATTTGCAAGTGACTTGGACGAAGGCAAGGCACACATATCGTACATTCTTGCTGTCTCTTTTGTGTGCCAAATTCTACATTTTTGGATTCACTGATAAATTAATTCGCGTTTCTAATTTATATAAAAAAATGTCTAATTTTCCTTTTATGTTCTTCTTATTTTCTATCCGTCTCCGACTAGCTTTAATTAACCTGTAACCATAACAAGATAGTTTTTTTATAAATTGTGAAATCAAAGAATAGAAAGAAATAAAAATGAAGGTGTTAAAGTTGTTGATTATAGCATCAATCATCACATATGCGGCTGCTCGTGTTGTAGGTAAGTGTGAAAAAAAGATTCTGATACCTTAATCTTTGCGAATGAGGTCACTGAAGCCAAAAAATAAATTTTATGGTCACTTTTTCTCACGATGGAATTTTATTTTCATTTAAATTAAATAAGACCTAATTAAATGCTACAATTTTACTTCTTTTTCTTCTGACTTTTTTTAAATGTTTATTTTTTTTTTGTTAATTATGTTAAGAGAAAACATTGAAAGTGATTAAAACATTTTCGTACGAAAAAGCCCACAAAATTATCTGTGTTATTCTTGTTTTGTTTTGGTTTCTAGGGCTTTTCATCATGTCATGTTTAGACAATTAATACGATTTTTTTAAATGAAAGTCAGTCAGATCGATTTCGATTAATTTTCATCAGATTATAAATGGAAGGGGGGTGTTATGGCTTATGAAGCAAGGAACGGATTTTAATTGGTTTCAAACGAGGAATGTGGAAATTCTTGAAGCTTAATCGGCCTGTTTCACTAAAGTGGATTATCCTCGATTTCAGATTATTCGAAATCAGATTTTTGTAAATATCTTAAACTTTATGCGAGGTGTGGTATTTCTAATTTTGGATTATAATAGAGTGAAGTATGCCTGAAATTTCTGTGTACTTTAAAGTTTTGCTTTTCGTTAAGAAGTATTAATTATTCAATTTTCTAGCCAAATCTAGTTGATTAATTTCGATTTTTGCTATAATTCTTAAACTAGTGAAGATATAAAAATTCTAAGTTTATGTTAATTTAAGTAGCAAAGTACTCTAACTAGATCAGACATTAGATCTCTTAATAACCTTAAGCGTCTGGAGATATTTTCAAAAAACTGAAGTGGATAATCCGAAATCGAGGATAATCCACTTTAGTGAAACAGGCCGAAGAAGATTAACGAAATTCACAGTATGAATGATACCGTGGGAATTTTAAATAGAGGAACTGCAATAAGACTGCTTCATTCTCTAGTTGTAAAATTATTAACTTGAGTTTATGACTAGCTTATAGATTTAATCTCAAAAAAGCATGGAGATGGACCAGACTTTTCGAGCTGGAGGTTTTTCGATTCAAATTAGAACAGAATCTATTGTACCACATCCTTTTGACCTACAGTTTATAGTGGAATCCAAACCATTTGCAAGCTCGGCACATTGCAAAGACATGATTACGTCTAAAGACCTGATGTACCCTCAAATAGCTTTAGGTTTTTGTTAACTGTAGGAAGTTAAAGTTAAGCTGATGACAAGCAACATCAGATGGCATCAAAGTTTGCTTCATTCGAGGTTTGGAGATTATTTGTAGGATCCAAACCAATCCTTTGATGGTTCTTCGATATTAAGGCTATCTATGTTGCCACAAAGCTGTGCCACCTGATAACAATAAATACAAACTAAACTCATTAAAATATAATAAAATTATCCCAATAAAAAGCCTCTTCAAACTAAACAATAACAAATTTTTGAAAAGTGTGAGACTCTCATAGGCAATTCAAATTGCATCATATTGAACTTGAACTTGAAATGCCTGATTTCATGATTGTAACAATTATCTCACATCTCGTTTGAAAAATTGAGAACAAAAATGCCATAAAAATTATTTTTACTTAATATGTGCGTGTAAGAAATAAAAGAAGAGAAGAAGTTGAGGAAGTTAGAGCATTTTACTTTCCATTTAAAGTATTTATTGCGTCTTAAGTAATTTATGAAGCTAGTCTATGCTGTAATAAGCTATTTTTCATGAGAATAAAAAAATTACTTAAATTCTCTTTCGTTTCCTGTCATTTGCTAACCTTGAACTTTATTTCATTAATCCAGGACCACAAACCGTAGAAGCCAGAAGAAAAACAAAGCTTCAAAGTAAGCAAGATGATGAGCCAGAAGGCGTAGATGTAGATTCAGATATTCCCGTTGCAAATATTCAAGTTTATGAAGTCTCATCAAGTACAACAAGTGCATCAGCTGAAGATGTTGCTGACAGTGTTGAGACTTCCGTCGCACCAATATCAGCAGAAACAACAGTGACATCAGCCGAGTCAACAGAAGCGACGATTTCAAATGAGGACGATTCAAATCCGATAAATCGTTACTGCAAATGCACAAGCTTTGAATGTGATTGTTGTCGTGACTTTGCATTGCCATTAGTTCCAATTCGTGGACCTGGATGTGCAAACATTAGATATCTTGAAGGCGATCGTTTGTCGGTTGGTATCAAGTTTGGAAATCGTGTCTTGGCTAATCGTATTGTTAATGGTGAGTGCTTTAATGCTTCGAATAACTCTAATTGACATTAAATATAATCTGAATAATTCTTAACAGGACGTAAGGCAACACCAGTCTGCCTGCCACTTCCTGGTGGTTTTACAAACTTCTGTGGTCGTATTTATGGAATCTCAAAGAAGAATGAGAACTTTAAGGCATGCTTAGGATTAGAATTACGCGCTGACGATGAAGTTGAAGCTGCATTGAGAGTTTCATGCTTTGATTTTGGTCCACGTGGCTTGAAAGTCACTGATGCTGAGCCACTTCCACCTGTACCAGCTGAAGATGAGGATGACGATGGTAATTTTATTTTTTTTTTGACTTTAAAGATTGTGTACCATACTTTATTTCATTTTTTGATCCTAGATGATGATGATCTTTTCGGATTCGGTGGAGGAGATGATGATGATGATGACGATGACATTTTGGGTGGTAAGTCTTGCCATAACATTCTTGATGATCAAAATTAATTTTTTTTCTCCCCAAATAAATCAGATGATGATGACAGTGATAGCGATGATGACCGTCCAACAGGGCAATCAGCAAACCCACAACCATCAGCTGCAGAAGACGACGATGATGATGACGCAGATTACACTGGATTCAGTCTTCTTTCCGGTGACTTTTTGGATGATATTTTGGGCGGTGATGATGATGACAGCTCTGTTGCTCAACCACAGCCAGCACGTAAAAACCCAAAAAGAAAACAAGTCAAACCACAAGACAATACAAATGTTGAAAATAATGAGGTCGATGGGGTATTGGATGATGAAGAGACGGAAGAATTAGTGAGACCAGTACAAGCTGATTCAAGTGATGACGAGGAGGATGATGATGAAGGTTTGCTAATTGCTTTGTTTGCGAAAATTTTACAGAAATTAACATTTTTTTGATTTTTATTGTTTACAGAGGACGGTGGCATTTTCGGAATTCTTGATGGTATGTATTAATTAAAATAACATGGCGCATTTTTAAAGAAAGTGCATTATTGTTAAAATTATTGTAATTCTGTTTTTTGGCTGAGTTTTCATGCACATGAATAGAAATCAGATTTCTAATTGGCGGGTGGGATCGACTTTGGGTATGCAAATTAAAGTGACTTGCTCAAATCTTCATTGGGACTCTTCTTAATATTCTATGAACAGCAGCTCCTTAAGTTGCAGTCACTCAGTAGTAAATCAGCATTTTAACGCAAGTTATAGTCAAATCTAATCTCTGTGGTAAGCCAAAACATAAATAATGAAATACAATTTTGCGGTTACGATCCATTCAAAGACAACTTATCTTCAATTACAACACAAACAGAAAATGCTTGAGAAAAGAATAAAATACGGGTCGAGTGTATTTCATACCGTGAAGAATCTACAAAGGCTTGTTTCGTGGATATTTACTTTCTTATCTCTGGAAGTCATGAATATTTATGTCAAAAATTTACTGTTTAGCTTTTTAAGCAAATAATGGTTTGGAAGGTGTTGAATTTTTGGTTTGTTTGGATCAAAGACTACCATAGAGTCAGGAAAATATACAGAAATTTTTGACAATTGCTTAATTCAAGTTTGAAATGAATGATAGAAACCAATGTCAAGATCTTTGAAGTTGCAATCAATATTATATTGACAAATATCTATCTAATCATGGCTTATAGACCCCTCTGATACTTAAACCTGGGTCAGATGCCGTTTTTTGCTATTCTCCACATTTCCATCCTCTGAAATCTTCTTAAAAAATGTAAAATTTGCTCAAAAATCAGCTCATTAAATTAACAATCCAATAATTTAATTTCAGATCTCATATCAGACGGAGATGACGAGGAAGAGAGCGCAGAAGAGCAATTAGAGGACGAAGTCTCAGAAGAAATTGTACAAAATGAATTAGAAGATGATGCAGAAGATGTTGCAGAGGAAGTCGATGACGTCACTGGCAGCGTAAAAGACGCAGATCTTGACAATGAGAATGACCTTGAAGATCAAGCACTAGAAGAAGCGGTCGTTGACGATGGTAATTAAGACTAATTAGATATTTCCGTAACATGTTGAACTATATAATTCACGGAATCGAAATGTAAATAATTGCAGATAACGATTCCGACGACGATGATGAGGAAGATTTAGAAGACAAGCCAACAAGCTACAGTGCACTTTCACTTTTAGGCCTTAGAAACTTCTTTTCACGATTCTTTCATTAACGCTTAAATTAACAAATTTCTAATTTTTTTCCGATACCAAAATTATTAAATCAGTGCAAATTACCAAAACCTCTTCTATTTTGTCATGTTTTCTTGTTTTGTCTTTAAAAAAACAGAACCAACATTATAATCGACTCATTAAGACATTTTGAACATCTCTTGTTTTCGATGGTCATTAACTTAATATTATTTATAAATGGAAGAACAATCAACAACGGCGACAAAAAAAATATCTAATTTTGGTGTGTACATAAAGTTTGCATTTTTATTATTAAATAATTTATTTATTAATTAATTAAGCAATATCAAATTTTTTTAAATTTATTTTAATTTATTTATTATTGTATTCTAAATGAGATTTAGATTTTAATCTTACGCTTAAATCTTTTTTTAATGCGTGAATTAAGATCATGAAAGAGATTTGTATGCTACAGTTTTTTGGGATAAATCAGGTTAAATGCTTCTTGGTGTATGATTTTCTTGAGGAAAGATGAGGAAGGTTTGAGGTTTTTGGCGAGTGCATGGTGTGTAAGGGGTCTGGTCGAGATATTGAACCCTAGTTTGATGAAACTAGTTTTATAAAGCCTTACAACATTTGCATTTAGGACAAACTTAGCTTTTTTGAAAATTAGGTTTCAACATAGTTATGACTCAAAACTGTATTGTAGGCAAGCTACTTTATTGAGAGTCTTATGGCTTAATCTTAGACTAAAGTACTAAAGTAAAGTAAAGTAAAATATACTGAGTGACTAAAGTAGGCAAATTTTGAGGTTTAAAAAAAATTCATTTTTGATTTTGAAGTCATCGATTTGAAAAAAATAAACCCCCCAAATTTCCTCCATCTCCCCACCAAAATCGATCTTTTCCCATGAAAATCAACCAAACCAACAGAAGCACATGGATATCGATATTAAATTTGTCATTGAATAACCCCCCAAAAAATTACTTAATGACAAATTTTTATCCATTTCAATATAATTGAATAAGTGAATATGAATTATTTATTTATTTATTAAAATTTTATTTATTTATTCTCGAATTAGAAAAAAAATATTTTTTGTAAGTTTTTTTAAAATAAAAATGCAAAAAAAAACTCTTTAATATTGTAAAGTCAAAACTTTATTGTGTTTTATTTGTAAGCGAAAAAATCATTTTAGCATGTTATTAATGACATCAAAGTTGTTGCAAGTTTCAGACAATTATAAAATTCTTTTCAGCTTTAGTGCATGAAAAACTGTGTGAATGTCAAGTGTAAGTGATGATTTGTTATGAGTAAAACTAGTAGTTTGAGGTGTCGATATATTAAAACTGTTTTTAAGACATGGATGAGTTTAGAGAGTCTGATGGGGTTCAAGGGGGTCTATGGAGGTGTTTGTAAGAATTTTCGTCGGTCAGGAAGACTGAGTCCTCAATTGTCAAACTTTTTGATCATTTTACATGAAGCCACTCTCTTTACTCGCTGCCTTAAATAACTTTATATTCAAAATGAAAGAAAATATTTTTTAAATATCTCAAATGCACTCAGACTATAAAACCATAATCAATTTCCTCCAATTTTCTAACCAAGAACCCCTGCTGAGCAAACGATCCAAATTAAAAACCAATTAATTCCTCTATATTCTGCATCAATTGTTCCACATGAATTCTTAAAAATTCCTCAATATTCCTGTACCCCGTCGATTTTAATTTGATTGATGATCCCAAAAAAAATTCTATATGCCAAACAAATAATGAATGCATTCAACATTTTAACATGAAATTAATGACTTCTCTCACATTTTCGTTGCATATATCTCACGGCTATAAAATATAACTTTGTATTATTTTAAGCCCAACACATATTTTTATTTGCATTCGTATTGCAATTTCTCATTCCGATGTCAATCTTAACACATTTTATTTTTTTCGGGTGAGTGAGATATAAATCTTGTAATCACGTTAGAAGTTCGTTATTAATTACGCTTTAATATACATTAATTATAAATCCGGTTTTACAGGTACGCGGCTACTTTTTTTGACTTAAAAGCTATCATCAAGTGATGCTTAATTTGCGTGTGATTTTTTCCGATTTCTGTTAATTTCAAATTGAGGAACGATCATTATTAGTTTTAATTCCAAAGATCATCAAGATGAAATAACCAGACCGGCAAATTTAATAACAATCGTCTTCTCATCGTTGGCTTCGGTAATGTCCATGAGTTTTAAAAGGAGCCCGGAACAATTTGTGGAACTTTACATTTTTCAGGGGGTTGAGGCGCATTTTAAGTTCATTTAGCATCGATAAGGTAATTATTATCTGATAATGATCAACAAACAAGTTAAGTAGGGGATCTGAAACCATTTGGTAACTCCAAAAACATGAAAGTAATGAAATGTTCTGTCCAAACCCAAACTGCAATCCCAAACTCACTCCTTTACTTCAAAATATCCACAAAAAAATTGCCCATATTAATGCTACCGAGTTTGGCGATTATATTGAGAATAATTTTTTGTTCACTTAACACGCAAAACAACAACAACAATCAGCCAAGCTCTCGAGTAAGAGAAACAAAGCATTTTTGCAACAGCACACGAGACAATTTCAGTTTCATTCTTGACGCCAAACAATACACGATGACTTCTGTGGAGGGCTCGCGGAATTTAGTGCTGTTGATAATTTTTAATATTTTAATTTTAACGCACAGTCTTGCTATTGATCCGAAACTTGATTTTGGTGATAATCGGGGACTCGTTGAAGTGAAAAAGGATATAAAAACGGGAAAAATTAAAGGATTGCGTGTGACAGTTGATACGTCGGAATTAAAAGGTGACCTAAAAATTATTCAACAGGAAAAAATGTTTTTAAAAATTAAATAAATTATTCGAAAAGAATCAAAAAGCAGTGGAAGTGACAGCTCATCCTCAAGTGATTCATCCGAAACCAAAAAAGTTGTTGGAGTTCGTACCGATGTGACATTTGAAATAACGAGCGGTGAGACAAATGATACAAAAACAGTTGATGAGAAAGAAATAGGAAAAGAGGATGATAATGCAAGCATTCCTGTAGTTCCAGTGTTTAAAGGCACACCAGATCGTGGAGGTATTAGTAGTGGACATGTTAAAGAGTCAATTGACAATGAAATTTTGAGTGTCATACCTTTAGAGAATCCTTCACAGCCATTGCCTCCTCGTGGACCGATTTTTCATAGACAGGACGACAGGAATCAATTTAACGGTGGTGGACATAGCGATGAGTCGTGGAAACAAATCCCACAATATGCCATATGGACAACCGAGAGATACAATAACAGAAGATTTCATCAAGAACCAGTCTTTCATCACCGAAATGGTAGCAATGACCAAAATTAATCATGCGGAACTAATTATTTATGTACATAACTTTTCAGACCAATTTGATATTTTAAGAAAGCCATCAAATTTTATACCATATCAAATTCATCACGATCGTCATCTTCCATGGGAACCATGCACTTGTAAAGAATATCCAGGGCCACTTTTAAATCCACAACATCCGTCTTCGTCATCTCATGAATTTAAGTTAACGAATAAAGTTGATGATAAGCTTGAGAGACCTTTCTCAAAGACTACATAAATTTTGTAAGTCAATTTTTTATTTATTCTTGTTTGTAGCACTACCGTACGCGTACAAGTGAATGAATGTTGTAATAAAGATGTAAGAAGAAAAAAAATCTAACATAATTAAATTCATTATTATTTTTTTGTTTATTAAGGTATGGGATTATTCTAAAATGACGTCTAGGTTATAGGGTCGCTATTAGGGAAGAAGCTGGTGATGTTTTTAACACACAAGATGACATCCGTAAATAGGAATTTTGCAAAATATTTTTTGACCTTCTCATTTATGGTAAAAGCACCACCTTCTCTTAATAGACCTCATTTAAGAACGACCCCCTCAAATAAATACAATTAATGTGACACATAAAATTGAGATTGCTCGTTGCCAGATAATAATTCATTCACAAAATATAATAGTTTTTTGTTTGCATCTAAGCAGCACTTGCTTGTTTCTCACAAGAATATTTCTAATGAATGCTATTGCTGCTTTTTAGTGAGCGGAGAGAGAGAGAACGAAAACAATAAATTGAAATGCACATGAAGTTGATAAAAATCTGCTTGCTTTTAACTTCTAAGAAAAAAAAATATAAAGTGCTTAAAACGGAAGTACGAAATAATTTTTGAAGCGCGATTTAACATGATTAGTGAAGGGCTTAAATGCAGTTTGTCTAGAGTTCGTGTTTTGTGTGCTGATGTGAGACTAATCTAAAGTTGAGAATTACATTAGGTTGCATATGTTTAAGGGGAGCTTGATAGGTTTAAAGAAAAAGGAATTTGTCTCGATGTTAACCGAATTGGAAGGCTTTTGGGGTTAGAGGCTAAAATCGTAACTTGTTAAATTGGTGCTTAAATTTTTGACTTTACCGGCTATGCTTTAACGTGGTTCTGTTTACTCTAGAACAGTGTTGTACAAACTGTGTGCCTTGGCACATTAGTGTGCTGCAAATAAACGTTTGAAATGCCAGGAACTGCACACTCTGTGCACACCTAGTGTGTGGTATGCCGTGGCTCAAAAAGTTTGGACAACACTGCTATTGAATGTAATAATAAGCTAATAAACAAATTCTAGTACATATTAAATTTTAATAACTTGCAGACCCTAGTAGGTTGAAATTCCTAGTAGATTACAGATTCTAGTACGTTTTTGATTTTAGCTGATTCTGGTAGATTCCAGGACCTTGTAGATTGTCAATTCTAGTACATTGTATATTCTAGTACATTGTTGCTTCTAGTTTTAAAGATTACTGATCTAGTTTTTAAAAAATCAAATTCTATTGAGTATTTCAAGTTTTTTATTCGACTCACTATCAAAACATCCATAAACAGAAAAATACAAAAGCCATAAAAATTAAAAATGAAACTCCTCCAAACGCCCATCCAAAACCACTCCTATAAAATTTTTTTAAATCTAAAAGAATGAAATTAATGAAAAATGCGCTCATAAATTAAACTTTTTTCACAAATGGTGCATAGCCATACTTGTTCCATCTAGAAATGCATATTCACATAAATTTTTTTCGTATATCTAGCACTAAGTAGTAACTAATTAATTTGGAGAGTTAATCAAAAATTAGGGGTCAAGACATAAATTTTATGTCTAAGGTGTATGAATAGAATATGTTGAGACTTTTCCATCATTTTCTAATGTTGTTGTTGCTGCTTTGTAGCCAGTCTCGGCACCATTAATGTTATGCTTCTCTGCTTCTGCTGTGCTGAGCATTGAATGGCTTTTAATTTTGCCCTCACTGTCATATTCCGAACCTATTAAAGATTTTAATTAATTAGTAGCAATTAATCATACTTTTCAACACATTAGAAGTTTAATGTCTAGATCACTTACCGCTTGCCCATTTTGATTGTTTTTGCCATGACTTGACGCGCTTAAATCCACCAGTTCCACCAAGGCTTTCAACATTGTCAAAATCATTTAATCTACTTTGCAAATTCGTTGATCCAACAAAGTTTGCGGCTGCTGTATCAAGAGTGTTTGCTGTATTTACTGTACGTCTATTAGCCTCGGAAGCTGTAAGTTGGGATGAACTAGTTTGAGATCCTGCAACCTGTCTTTGTTGTTCTCTAGCTAACTTCTCACTTTCTGACATGTATGTTACTAAATCATCGGAATTAGCATTAACAGCTTGTGCATTGTATCGTTGATTAACTGAGCTTGCTGATCCACGTTGAGTGCCTGAGAATCTCGATTGTGGATATGCTTGATATCCATATCCACTTGTTCTTGATCCAGTTCCAGCAGCGTATTGATTTTGTGCTGAACTTCCTGAAGCAAATTGATTTTGTGCAGCACTTCCAGCTGTGTATTGAGTTTGAGCAGCAGTTCCAGCCTGATATTGTGATTGAGCTTGTTGGTTTTGTGCTTGCATTTGAACTCGTGATTGTGATGCAACTGGAGCTGTGTAGTATGTGACTCCACTGCTTCCATATTGAGATCCATCAGTTCCTGAAATACGGCTTGATGTGACTACTGGACGATTTACACTTGTGTATTGAGAACTGCTGCCACTTGCTTGTTCATTTTCATTTCTACTTGATGCAACTCTTTGACTATAGGCTGGACGTGCTTGATAATATCTTCTTTGATCTTCATTTGTTCTTTGTGATGATGTTGACTCAACTGTATGAATTGGAACGATTGGAACTACTCTCCCGGTATAACTTTGTTGATAATTTGTTGATCCACCAGATGTTGAGGATTGACGTGAATTAATGTTTGCCTGTTGAACTCTTTGTTGTGTATCTTCTTCATCTTCTTCCTCTATTTCTTCGTCATTGTATCTTGATCTTGAATAGCCAGCTGTTGTGAGTTTTTCAGGTTGATATGCTACAATTCTTTGTGTTGCTGTCTCAACTCTCGATCCGGATGATGTTGATGTTCTGTCTGATGCATATGATGGATAGTAATTAATTTGATAACCTGGTTGAACTCTGCTTCTGCTTGATTCTGTCACAGCTTGATATCCTTGTCTGTTGCTTGCATAAACACGTTGTTGGCTTTGATCTTGAGCACTGACTGGAATTGTCAAAACTGTAGATGTTCCAGGACGAACACCCATGCTTACATATTGTCCAACTGGAACTGGCTTTTGTGTTCTTGTTTCACTGTATTGTGCTTCTGAATTTTGTGCTGATGATCTGTATGATGTCGATGCTGAACCTCCGGGAGCATAATAAACTTGAGATGTTCTTCCACCTCCAGTCACTCTCGATTCTGATTCTCTTTGTTGTTGCTGTTGCTGTAATCTTCTTTGTGACTCAGTATATCTATCATTGTTAACTGACAAGTCATGGTACCCAGCACCAACATTTGTTTGTAAATCTTCTTCCTCTTCCTCCTCCTCTTCTTCTCTACGACTACTTCTTGACTTTGAACGGTAAGCTGCTGACTGAACATTACTCAAATCTCCAGGGACTACTCTTTGCTGTAAATCATCAGCTTCGTGGTCACTTGCTGATGAAAATCTGGCAGAAACACGTTGCTGTAAGTCATTTTCGTCAGCTACTTGTCCATGAGAAACAATTCCCACGCCTACATAATCTGAATTCTCAAGACCACTTGCACTGCTTCGTTGGGAGTTTAAACTTGATGACGATCTAAAAAAGTTGTTGATTAGCATTAGAATTGTTTATTTTTAAATAAGGAGATTGAAGTAGATTAGAAGATCAAGCTCAGTTTTGTGACTAAGAGCGCCTTTAGTGGAATCTAGAAATTCTGAAGTTCATGACTGAGTGACTCATTTGAAAATAATTTCAGGACAGTAATCAAACGTTTCAGAGGACTTTGATAAAGAAAATAAATAATAAAGATTTTTTTTCAGGTTCAAATGATCAAACCCGCACAAAATGCGCTAACAAATGAAAAATAATATTGCAATAATCACTTCAGAAGCTTCGTCAATCCTTATCAACTAGTATAAGGTCGGGAATGTCACAATCAGACTCTTTAAGAAATCTACATTCTGACAATCAATTGATAAGGAGAAGAAAGTCATCTGTTTAAGACTTGTCTGTACCTTGAATTATATGCAGATGATGAGCCAGTTGAACATCCAGTTGTGCATCCAGCAGTATAAGCATCACTTGCACCATATTGTCGTTGATAAACATTTTGACTGTCTAATTTTGATAATCTTTCTTGCATGCCTTGACGGGCAGCATTTACAGATGTTTGATGTTGCGAGTAGTGCCTATCATGAATAGAGAGAAAGTAATTGTTAAAATCCCTGTTGTAGGGACACAAATTTTGCCAATTTTTCAAAAGGAAAAGAAGAAAAAAAGAGTTTTGATCAGAGAAAATATTCAAAAGTTTTGACAATTCAATGCACAAAAATTGAAACGCTTTTCTTTAATTAAAACTTACGTTCCATACTTATTATCTACATCAGCATGTGCTAATGCAGCTGTGACTAAAAATGTCAGCAATATTTTCATTTTGTCCAGAATATACTTATTCTAATTTAATTCCTTGTTTTTATTTTTGGATGATTATTCTTCAATTGATCTCACAAGACTGAAGACTCTCTTCGATCTGTGCAAATTATATACAAAATTTCTTATCAGTCTCATTTTGAGATCGAACTGCCTCCTCCGTAAACAAACTCTTGGGTTTTTTCATTTTTCTCATCTCAATTGAGTCGTTTTTTTCTCAAGTATGAGACATATTTGTTCCGTTCTTCCAAGAACTCGCGGATGAATTCGATTGAAGTCAAAATATTTCACTCTTATCAATCGGATGTTACTCAAATTTTTGTGCAGTTCGCTTGTTTATTTTGAATTGTTTGTGTGGATTTTGGATTTTTTTAAGAGCATATTTTTCTGGAGAATTTTCGAAGACGCAACTTGTTATGGTTGGTTTTTCAAAATACTGAGAATGCTATTAATGCATGAATGCTATCATTTGTCCATGAACACAAAACTTCAGTTGATAAACTTTATTTTGCTTAAATTTTAGACCTTCTTATTTTTTCATCAAGCTTTTGGCGATTCTTGCTTTTTTGAAAAAAACAAACCTTTAGCTATTCAGATCAATTGTAATCCAGAGGTGCGCTAGGGCATTTCGCAGCTAATGAGAGTTAAACGAGTGAGAATGCGCCAAACAACTGCACTCAAATCTAGACCTACAATTTATAGTAGAATCCGAATCACTTTGATGTAATTTCAGCCTGTAGCCTACAAAGGAAGGCTGTGGGCCTCATTTCCAGTACATATGATTCGAAAAAGGACAAGTGTAAATATCTCATATCTAGTCTCGAATCCATAATCACTGTGTCGGTATTGCAATAATTGGGTACCAAAGTATTAAATCATTCCGACCCAGAGCCACTTCAGCTCACATTATTGCTTTTAAAACATTTAAAATTGGAAGTTTAATAGGAAACATAATGCACTATCAAGCAATTCTATGTGATTTCGACTGTTGAGCATATCCATATCCTTGTAGACCTCTTTTCTCTCTGTTCTATTTCAGCAGTCTCTTTAAAACTCGTAAATGAAATCAAAACTATTCTTTAAGTTGACTGATCCTCAATATTATCTTTATATATTCTAAAACCTAATTCAATATCAAAGGAATAGAGCCACAAGTTCCTATAAATTCTGAAAACTTAAATCTTTATAAACTTCTTAAAATAAAAACATAAAAATTATTTTTTTCAAATTTTTTAATGGTTTTACTTCCTTAATGTCTATTACACACATGATTATCGAGACAATAAAATTAAAATCAAAGAACCACAGTTAAAATTAAGTTTGAGTCGACAAATTAAGGACTTTTCTTAAAATTATGATCAAGCATATCCTTAAGATCCTCTGTTGTAATAAGTTGTCACTTTTCCATTGTTGTTGACTGATGTTCCTGATTCACGATTTCTAACACCATTAATATCTGATGATGATGAGAATGATGAAACTCCTGAAAAGCCTGGTGTTCCTACACTGTGGGTAACAACTCCTTCATCTCCGAATCTTGAGTCTAATCTTGGTGGACTGACATGAGCGAATCCTGTTTGATGTCCACCTCCAACTGAGCCACCTGATGCTGCATAGTTTGAACCACCTGAATAACCTCCATGACCAGTGCTGCTGTAACTTCCACCTCCACCCCCAAAACGATTAACAACTGGTGTTGCATATCCTGGATTGTTGTATGATCCTCCATAAGTTGATCCACCTCCTACCCCACCATAACTGCCTGTACTTGCTCCTGATCCAGCAAAAGCTCCACCACCTGCTCCATATCCACCATAACCAAATCTATTTCCATAGAGGGCTTGGTCTCTAATGGCATTAATATTTGCGGCTACTGAATTCTGAATTGCTGCTTGTTGTGCTAAGTTTTGATACCAAAGACTAGAATTGAATAAATAATATTTCATTAGCAAATTCTATGAATTTTATAAGCCATAATCAACTACAAGATTCATCAAAGCATCTACATATTGTCACTACATGTGTTAATTAGCCAAACCTTCTATAATCTTATGTAATTTTAGTATTAACAGGCATTAATCATCATGAGAATGTTTTATAGTAAGTTCATTCATGTGAAAAACACTTATTTACTTATTATTCTTATTGTTCTTATTATTTCGTCTATCTTGATATCTCTTTGATGGACTTAAAGAAGCATATGATTGAACTTTTGCACCTTCACCTGCATATCCTGTTGTTAATGACCTTGGACTTAAATGAGGAAATTTATACAAATGAGATGGGAATTGTTTACAGAATTGTTAGTGTGGATTCTTAAAATTATGGAGTTATGGGATTTTGGTGACTTAAGAGGATCTGTATGGAACATGTCGAATAGACTGTCCACTCTACCCGTTTTAAACAACTACCCTTAAACGTAAAAGTGTTGATATTATCTTCATAATAATCTAGACAGTCACAACGACTGAATTATCAATTTTATCTTCACACCATCACCAAAACTAGTATGTTGCCGTTCACTTATGACGTTCAGGGAAGGAGGGGTGTCAGCAAGAAAAGAGCAATAGAAATTCCTGGACATCCATTGTTCGTTTTTGAAAAATGACAGTTTGATTCAAAAGTCATAAGTGAATGATCCCTAAGTAATTTTGATTCCAAAAGTGCTTTTGTCAACCATCACCAAAAATTTTGTTTTTGTGCATTCAAAATCATTCAAAAAGTTCAAATCAAAAAAAATATGTGCAACCAAATAATTGTTCCCAAATATTGCGTGCGATGAATCGGTACTTAATATTATTCCAAACCCAGTGTGGATCATCATTCATTTTATGTAAAATTATTCTTTAACAAACCCCATATTTTTTAAAATAATTGGTTTATATTCAAATCAAATGCACATATCTTGCTGGAATAGTTACAAAGGATTTACATGATATTATATTTAATTTTGGGTTTAATCGTGGATTGATCGTTTAAATGTAGTCGAACCCTAAAGAAAAATCTTCAACAGTAACAAAGGATTTGGTCTCATGTGTTAGCCAAAACAAAAAGAAAACATTGTAAACAAGTCAAACTAGCTTTAATATATACAAAATCGTATAAATGCACACACATTGAAGACAACAACACAAAACAATATGCAAAAACAAAAACAATAAAAACTCATCACAAAAACCAAACACGAAGAAAACAAAAAAACAGGAATTTTGTATAAGGGGTCAAGTAAAGAACTAATGAACGATTAACCATACTTAGCCTGAAAAGCATTTAATTGAGCAATGTACTGTTGTATGTCGAATGGTGTAACGACAGGAACATATGGTGCAGCGCCGACTGACGAGTAACCTACATAATTGTTTGTATAAGGATATTTAGAGCCATAACCAGAATTATAATTAGAATAAAGTCCTGCCGAACCTCCTGCACCAGAGCTAGCGTAGCCTAAAAATAGACAAGACATAGAAATCAAGTTTAAGTTGCTAGTAAACAACAATGAATCATAAATTTATAATGACGTAGTCTTAATAGACAATAATTCATTGGAATCACGATTTTCTTTGTATTTATAAATATTTTTTTGAGTCATGTTCAAGGTCAGAAACTTTAAAGTAAAGAGAAGAGCTCAACAATCACAAGTATAAATTAAATTGCTCGTGAAAGCAATAGTCAGCCGGGTGTGAATGTATTGTGATTGTATTCGCGCAACTTATTCTTCCTTATGTACACTTTAGATGTATGAATTTTAATTAACACTATCGCGTCAATGTGACGTCATGGTTTTGGTAAAATATTCAAGTTTATTTTTGTCAATAACCGGACTGTACAATGAAAGAACTCCGGGATTTTCCCAAAAAAAAATATTCATAATCGTCAAAAAAGCTTCTTCGTTTGTTTGTTGGCTACTAATTTTAATCTTGTAAGAATTAATCACATTTTCAAGTTAATAGTCAGTCATTACAATGTCAAATCATGTTTCCAGCTAAAATGACGTTTTATAAAGTTGTTTTACCTGCACTGGCTGTGGCTACGAGAGCGCAAATTATTCCGAATGTTAACATTTTCTGTTCGATGAGCTCTTCTGCAAGACAAAGAAAAAAACAAAATCAAGGAATTAGAAAGTTTGTCACCAGAAAGTTCATTATACTCGTCTATTGCAATTGATTGCAATTTTATGTAAATTAGTGTATTAACAATATGGGCAGAGTATTCATATTTATCACACTTTCAGTGCCCCAGAATCAATTGAATGCAAATAACACGCAATTTTTACTTAATATTAATCAAAATTGATAACTCTCTGAGTCGATGCTCGACAAAATTAATTTTGAAGATTTATATTTATTGAAAGAACATTGAGAAAATATAGCAGAAGGTCAAGCGTTAATTGCTCTTAACTTTAAAGGTTCTTTAGCTTATTTCTATAAAAATGAATGAGTTTTTGGCTGAATGAAGAGCACGTGATGTAAAATATCGGTAGCTAACCTGCATATGTGATATTGGATGTCTTAATTGACTGCTAATTATTATGAGAATTTCGCAGTTGATTAGTTCTAGCTGTCATATTGGAATTCCCAATAAATTAATTTTATTACAAAGTTAACGGTTAAGAAAATCTTATTTTGACCTTATTTCATATAAGTTGAGACTTAATATGGACTCTTGTATTAGATTCTTGATTATTAACAGTGCTTTATTATGCAAATCATCTTTTGTTCCATTTTAAAGCAATGTGCATAGCCTGGAAAACACATCAGATTTGACAAAACTGTCATATAAATTTCATTGCTCAGTTTCTTATCAATAATTGTTGTTTATTTAACAGAACTGACCTCAAAACAACTGGTGCTTATGTATCAATGCTTTTGGTCATGATTCATGTAAACAAATTTAATCTATAACAGTAATTTCCCCTACTAGATTAATGGGAATCCCCAGAAGTATTAAATTTTATAGCTTGAGTTAAAGAAAACCTTAAAGGATATTGAATAAAATTCTGAGTATTCTATAAGCTAATCATCAATATCTTTGGAATTTGTTGATATTAACATTATTGCTCAGTAGTTTTATTGAACACTGAGAAATTTTAATCTAGAAAATCTCGAAGAAATCGAAGTAAAATCGAATCAAACCATTAAAATATTGACGATTTGATGTTTTTCTTAAGATTCCTTATAAAAATTAAGCATAATTAATATTCTATAACTTCACAGTTTTTAATATAATTCTCTTAGAACCTTGTTTATAAAATATTTTATTTTTCTCGAATATTCGACAAAAAAGCTAATTTTAGAAATGATCTCCAGATTTCTCTTTCAAACTTAAATGACATTGGTGATTTGTTTAAGCATTCAAAACTCCCAAAAATTGACATTCTTTTATCAAATATTCACAACTTGTCGTTGCGCGTGATAATTTGACCAGGGTCATTGAAACATGCAAGAAATTTGAAGCTCTTCATCTATGTTATTGAAATAAAATTAATAACTTCTAATTTGATTGAACAAAACTTTATTAAATTTCATAAATTTTAAAGAACTCTTAAGAAAATTTTAAAAATATGTAATCAAGTTTGTTTAACAAAGAACCTTGTTTAAGACCTGATATAAACTTGATGCGTGTTAATTAATCTTGATTCAAGTGACATCAAAGTTTACAAACGTAATCCAATGCTATATACTAATTACCACAGCAGCATTCTAATTAATTTAAATGATTAGAATTATTCCTAATCTTGCAATCTGTTCAATGGCTATTAAATCATTCTATTTCCATCTGTTCCAATCATCACAACCATAGTAAGAAGCTAAATTAGTGTTAATTTCACAAATGCACATTCTGTAGCTTTAAACAATTCATCAAAGCTAATAAATCACATGTCACAGATGAATCAATTTTCTGCGCACTTAAAATTAAAATTTTTTCCGGCTTTGACGACTTGTTGAAATTAATAAACAAAGCTGAACTCTTCAAAGCTGATATTTATCATCCAAGTGTAAATCTGCGATCAAAGATCTTAAATGACATTTACTTTTTTTGCATAATTTTTAAGAAAAATTCGAAATTTATTTTATTTTTTGTCGGTGGATTTAAGTGGTAGAACAGGTTGTTAAGCTTGTTTTTAGTATATTGTCACCAATGACGCAAACTGTTTTGTTTCTCAGATAATTTTGCAGATTTTTATTTAATTAATTAACATGCAATTCAAGCACTTTAGACTTTAAATGCTTAAGAATCGAAAATTTCGTACATTTTGTTGCACAAATATTGCTCAGTTCCTTATCAATAAACTTTAATTACCTTTTTTTATATTTTATATTTTATTCTCGTAATTTAAATAATGATTTTTTCTTGTCTTGTAAATAAAATTCTAGAGACTTTTTATGATTGTGTCTTGTCGGCTGTGCTTCCTCTACTAAACTGAAGATCTAAAAGATGATCGTGCTTAAATGTAAACAAGAATCGATGTGAAAAAGAAACTTTTCGTCGTTTCTGTTTTCTTTTAAATTAATTTAATACATCAGGTTTTTTTTTATATCGAATGGGACTTGATTCGCGACTTTGTTCCTTTTTGTTCTTTGAAATATACGTCGACGTAAATTTCGATGAGTAGCTCAGCTCATAAAACCACAAATTTTTTTTATGTAAATGTTTTATTTTGTTATTGTTTTGAAAACATAAAAAAGTACCGACCGGAATATCCCCACCATTGCACAACAAATATCAAAATTTTAGTACACAACTCGTAGGAGAAAAGACACTGAGTTTGTTATTCTCGCATGTCGCTTAATCGCTCATTCATTTAAAGCTTTAGAACACGAAAAGCTCACATTTAAAAATACTATTGAAATGTGATCATAATCGTTATAATCCTCTTTTTACTTGATTGTATCTTAAACTGGCTGCAAGAAGTCTACGAGGTAAATGTTATTGACCATAAATTAATAATGGTAACTGCTGGTAAAATGGTAAAAAAGCTATAAAAACTTGAGGAGCTAGTTGACACAAAGAACTGATTGGTGTCACTTACAATTTCTTAGCAATAAATACTTTAATGGATATTCCTGCATTTTTAAATCTTAGATTGAAAGTCAATCTAACAAGGACTGCTGGAAAATAAATTATAATAGAAAGCTTCATACAATTAAATTCAGGCACACTTAACTTGATGTGCTGTATGATTTTTCAACAAAAAAAGGAAAGTATGCAACTTGTATGTTGATGGTTTGGCTCATCAAAAAAGTCTTTTGGAATTATATGTTCAGGGATGGATTCAGGAATTATTCAAGAAGGGAAGAGGCTGGAAGAGGGTGTAATAATTTGTGTTTTGACAAAAAACAATGGATTTTTCTTCACAAAACCACTATGGGGCAAAATTGAAAAAAAGGGGTAATTCACTTCGAAAATAGGACTCTTTCAATTTAGGTTCTCGGGGTATTTTTTTCTTGTAGAGGACATTAAATTAGACTTGCATGCCAAATTTCAGACCATTTTGTGCTGTTTTTGAGATTCTAGAGCTATTTGAAGTTGAAAATGAGCAAAAAAACTGGTTTTTTCATGACATATTTAAACTTAAAAATCTCTGCAATGTTTAAAGTTATTGAAAAATTGTTTTCGGTTCCTATAAGAACAATATAAGAGCTTTATTTTAATGTATTGTAAAATTTTTAACTTTCCAGTTTTGGTGCTGGTATGGTTGGAAATGTACGAAAATCCTATGAAAAATATCTATAAACGTGCCGCAACTATCTTAGCAGGTCGATTTCCAGGTAACTGAATATACAAAAATTTAGCTCTTGATATACAGTTTGTAAAACTGTATAAACATTAGAAATAACAAGGTACGTTTTTGAGAAAAATTGGTTTGTGTAAGTCGTGAAATATTAAGCCAAAAACTGATTTTTCTCTTAAAAATAACAAATCATTCATAGTAGAAAAGTTTGGTAATGTTTTCTAATTGCAAATAATATTTAAAGACAACCTGCAAAGATATTTTTTCGAAAAACTCAAAATTTGACGAGATATCGGGTACATTTGATATCTGATGACTTGTATGTTTTTTGCACCACTCAAATGACTCTAACTTTTGTTTAACTTAATATTTTTCAGTTCTGTTTCCTGTTTATTGTAGCTTAAGTCAATACCTTTCTAACAATATATAATACTTGATAGTTGCATATGACATCGATCTTGATTATTGGCATTGTTTGTGAATGACCCCAAACTAAGAAAAATCTTGAAAACAACATTTCTAGAAATACCACTTAGAAAGAAAATTGTATATTGTTTTGAGGTTTTTTATGATGATTTATGATAATTATGACTGTTAAAACTCAAAAACATGGAATTCATAAACTTTTTGCGATCTCAGGTAGCCTGATTAGGTACGACCCTAGTAATATCTATTGGACCAGAAAGTCTCTAGTATCAGACTATTTTAAAAACTCAAATTAATGAATTCATCATATTTAAGCATATTTATAGCAAAATATTTCATTTTTAGATACTTTTGGTTGAAAAATTGTGAATTTTGGCTATTTTGTTTAAGTTCAGCTTGCGTCGGTCACATTCAATCCACTCTAGTTGCAACTATAATGAAGTTTTATACCAGTATTATACATTATCTTAAAGGTACTGATCTAAACTAGCAATAATTGAAAACAGAATGCAAAAATATGTATCCTGAAAAAAGTTAGAGCTCTTTATGTACATAAAAAAGCATACAAAAACGCAACCATCATAGGTAAAAATACAAAAATTTAAAATTTCAACGAAAATCTTACAAAAAAGTATTGAAAATGTGTTTATTATTACAAAAAAATCAAAGCTTGTCAAAAAAAACTGATAAATTTTCAATTTTTGTATTTTTACCTATGATGGTTGCGTTTTTGTATGCTTTTTTATGTACATAAAGAGCTCTAACTTTTTTCAGGATACATATTTTTGCATTCTGTTTTCAATTATTGCTAGTTTAGATTAGTACCTTTAAGATAATGTATAATACTGGTATAAAACTTCATTATAGTTGCAACTAGAGTGGATTGAATGTGACCGACGCAAGCTGAACTTAAACAAAATAGCCAAAATTCACAATTTTTCAACCAAAAGTATCTAAAAATGAAATATTTTGCTATAAATATGCTTAAATATGATGAATTCATTAATTTGAGTTTTTAAAATAGTCTGATACTAGAGACTTTCTGGTCCAATAGATACTACTAGGGTCGTACCTAATCAGGCTACCTGAGATCGCAAAAAGTTTATGAATTCCATGTTTTTGAGTTTTAACAGTCATAATTATCATAAATCATCATAAAAAACCTCAAAACAATATACAATTTTCTTTCTAAGTGGTATTTCTAGAAATGTTGTTTTCAAGATTTTTCTTAGTTTGGGGTCATTCACAAACAATGCCAATAATCAAGATCGATGTCATATGCAACTATCAAGTATTATATATTGTTAGAAAGGTATTGACTTAAGCTACAATAAACAGGAAACAGAACTGAAAAATATTAAGTTAAACAAAAGTTAGAGTCATTTGAGTGGTGCAAAAAACATACAAGTCATCAGATATCAAATGTACCCGATATCTCGTCAAATTTTGAGTTTTTCGAAAAAATATCTTTGCAGGTTGTCTTTAAATATTATTTGCAATTAGAAAACATTACCAAACTTTTCTACTATGAATGATTTGTTATTTTTAAGAGAAAAATCAGTTTTTGGCTTAATATTTCACGACTTACACAAACCAATTTTTCTCAAAAACGTACCTTGTTATTTCTAATGTTTATACAGTTTTACAAACTGTATATCAAGAGCTAAATTTTTGTATATTCAGTTACCTGGAAATCGACCTGCTAAGATAGTTGCGGCACGTTTATAGATATTTTTCATAGGATTTTCGTACATTTCCAACCATACCAGCACCAAAACTGGAAAGTTAAAAATTTTACAATACATTAAAATAAAGCTCTTATATTGTTCTTATAGGAACCGAAAACAATTTTTCAATAACTTTAAACATTGCAGAGATTTTTAAGTTTAAATATGTCATGAAAAAACCAGTTTTTTTGCTCATTTTCAACTTCAAATAGCTCTAGAATCTCAAAAACAGCACAAAATGGTCTGAAATTTGGCATGCAAGTCTAATTTAATGTCCTCTACAAGAAAAAAATACCCCGAGAACCTAAATTGAAAGAGTCCTATTTTCGAAGTGAATTACCCCTTTTTTTCAATTTTGCCCCATAGTGAAAACCTTACAGATTAAATCAATTGAAGTTCCAGTCACCTTCTCAACTACATCCTTTCACTTTATTTTAAAAACTCATTTTCAACCTTTCCCTTCAAATAGTCATATTTACATATAAATGATTTAAATCAGAAAAAAAGCTCTAAATGCTCGCAGCACTTTAAGGCAAAATTTTTATAACTTCTATTAATAATAGGAAGATTCATTTTTTCTAAGAATTTTTCATGGAATTTCCGAATGCATTCAAATGATTATAATTCAATCTCAATTAAAGTATTTCATCATTATTGCACACCTTCAGCAATTTACTTAATTAGCGTTGAACTTTGAAAATATGAATATCTTTCGTCATTTGAATTCATAAATATTTAACATTTCTGGCACATAAATGAACCATAAGTCATGCAAGTTACCGTCACAATTAAGACTTTATGTGTCAAAAAAGATGATAAATATTACAAGATTTTTATGACTAAAAACAGTCAATTTACTTCAACAGAAGCATGACAAAGATTTTGTTGTTTATTAACCGTTGGAATAATTTCAGACTTTTTTCCTTGAAAATAATATTTTGAGACAATTTAATGCGGTAGAGAAGTTGCGAAATTAGAAGAGATTTGAGAGATTATTATCGTTAAACTCATTTGTAAATTAACTAAGGAAAGAGATGCTGACTTTTATAGAAATAATCTTGATGCTTTTGTGAAGCTAACTTTCATTTTTGCAAACTCAAAATATAATTTTAATCCGCTCAAAAAAAATTATTATCTTTTCATCTTTACTTAATTTAAAACAAAAGAATTGACTCATTTGCATATTTGATGCTTGAAATCTTCAGAACATGGCATTTAATGGACAACGATTCTTCAAAATGTTCTAATAAAAAATCTCCAGCATTTTCCATTCCCAAAAGTTAAATCGATTTATCTCAAAGTAAAGATATTCACTCAAATATTTGACTCATCAAAATAAATAAAAAATCTCAAAATCTAAATGAAGAAATTTACACAAAAAAATCCTAAGTTAACAAAAGACCGATTGTGCTGCATCCGAAACCGCGATGAGATAATAAAATATTTCTGTGTAATTTAGTTCATCCAAAATGACATCAGAAAAAATTGTCATTTGTGAATCCCTCTGGCCAGAGTAAACAAAGTTAAAATGTTGTCTTAAGTAACACTCCCACGAAATTAAAGAAAGTTGTTTTTGATGCTTATATGGTGATTTGATGTAATTTTTGCACGTTTTTGGATGAATTGTTGAAATTGTGAACTTAAAAGTGTCGATTTATGGAGGATATGTAGGACAAAAGATGTCTGGACTTTTCTATTGATTGCTTCTGTGTAATGGAAAGTTTTGTCTTAAATTCTTAAAATCTGACTCTTAACTAGCCACCAGTTATCCATACATTTTTGATGGATCAATCGGAAAATTTAAACTTGTAAGATGCCACCAATTGTGATTCATAGGGGCGCTAGGGCGTTTCGCAGCTAATGAAAGTTTAACGAGTGAGGACTCGTCAAACCACTGCATCCAAACCTAGACTACAATTATTGGTAGAATCCGAACCACTCACACCCAAACTTTAGAAAAATTAGCGAAATTTCTTAGCACCAATAAAAATCAGAAGGCACCTGATTAAAGCTTTTATAAATTAATGATCGAGAATATCAAACAACACATTAAAGGTCATTAAGTAGCTCTCCAAAGTAGTCTTAAAAAATAAACCAATAAAAAACTCTTCAATACACTTAATTAGTAATAGATTTTATGTATTCATATCACGAATAAGATCGTACCGCAATAAACACTTCTCTATTGTTTTTCCTTTAATTCCACTCTACACTAGATTCAAAAAAATCCACAAAACTAATTCGTTTTCCTGTAAAAAATTAAATTGAAAGAACTGCGATGTCTCACTTAAATTAAGACAAAAGCTACGAAAAAATTTGTTTATGTCAATAAAATAGAAAAATAAATTTAGAAATCAAATTGACAATAAATGTCCAATAAAAATCACTTTAATTAATTATTACGTTCAACTAACTCGAGTATCGGAATTAAACTGAGAGACGATTCGCATTGAGTACGAAATATATATGGAGTTGATGAAAGAAAATTCACACAAGTGTGTGTTTTATATTCCTTTTTATTTTTTTTGTGGCTTTATTTTTCATGAACATTGTGATGAATACCACTCTCGGAATGAATACTTACTTACAACAATATCATGATCGAGACGTTGAATTTGTGAGCGTCTGGTAATACAAAACAAATGTTCTAATTGTATTCTCTCAGTTTTTCTAAGTAGGAATTAATGCAATCTGATGGTTTGCACATTTTCAAGTTCAAGATGGCTTGTTAGGGGTTCTGAAATTGGTTCTGCTTATGAGCAATGAGAATTGATTTTAAATCTTGGTTTTGTCTGTTTTCTGGAATCATATTTTGTTTGCTTTGTGAGTTTGCAATAAAATCTTTTTAAATCGATTTGATTTTTGTAAATTTATTTTAAATGATGTCATTGAAATAATCGATATTCTTCAACTGCTTGTCTTGATTTAACAACCTGATTGACAAATAGTTTAAAAAATACACAGAAATAATGATTTTGTTGTTTTTTGGATACAACTAGTCATTTGACCTGAGGGACATTATTTAAATGTTTTTAGCAACGTAACCAGAAATCTTTTGAGGCAACAGTTGTCAAATAAGAGGCTTCTCCAGACTAATCCCGAGTAGAAGACTTGACATGATGTCTAGTAAATTACTAAACGTAGGGACGACTAAGATTTTACTTTCAATAACGATTCATATTCTCAAAAAAATAAGTTTTTCAACTTCCTAAATGTCTATGAGTATTGAAGTTAAGTCGTGTTGCAACAATTATAACTTACATCGCTAAATTAGCTCAAACCTTAAGAACTTTAAATAAATTTTTCTAAATTAAATATGCAAATTTATTACTTAACTTACTATTTTTCTGCAGTCTTCACCAAACCATAAACCGCGACAAAATAATATGGCATAAAAATATTGCATACTTGGCTAATTTCCCCACGCATGCCCTAGAAAAAGGCTGTGAATCTCATCGATTTTGATAATTTTTCTTATGCAGAATGATAAACAACATTTCCAAATTTGAATTTGTAATTCACAAAAGTTTTCAAAAAACTCGTAAATCTTTTTTAAATGCAATTTAAATTGCTCGTAAATCTGTCAACCGAGGAAACATCTTCAAAAACAATAAAATCTTAACTTTTACTTTCTTTTCTTTTCCGTTGCAATCAAAAAATTGTGGCAAACATGCTTCCAGCAATCAACAAGTTGCAGCTTCTGTTTTATATCCAAACACTTGTTGAACTGCGCAAATTTTAGATGCCCTAAAGTCAACATGTGTTTTTGATCGTGATTGACTCTTTTCAATGTGTGTTATGAATTAAGGAATACAGTTGAATAAAACTTGATTGATTGATACAAATCATTAGTTTACTATAAAGTGAGAATTTGTTATTATTTAATGTACTTAAATTTTAATCAACGTGCATTTTCGATCACGACTGATTTTTCAATTAAACAAATCAAATTATTACCGGCAGATTATGATGTTAATCTGCGTTATTGAGTGGGTTGTGGTCGTCGTTGTTTACCTGGCTGTTCAAATGGGGTTGGTTTCTAGAACTGTCAATGATATTTAATCCTAAGCCTAACCCTAACCCAACCTTGGTCAAACCTTTCTTCAACCATAGCCAAATCCTAGCCTAACTCTAGTCAAAGTACAACCCTTACCCAACCTTAGCCAAACTTTTCTCCCAACGCTAGCCAAATCCTAATCCAACCTTAGTCCAATCCTAGCTTGATCCTAGCCTTACTCGAAACCAATCCCAACCTAACCCTAACCTAGAATTTAGTATTGATGCACTCTATTCTATGGTTTAAATAGAAATTGACTGTTAAGTAATGAAAAGATCACATATCGCTCTTAACCAACACTGACTATATTAAGGAAGGAACGTCAATTTTATTTTGACGTCAAAACTTTTCATTACACGCTCTCATGCCTCAACAATTCAGCTTATAAACAACAATATTTCTTTAATCTTGATACTTTGGTGTCCAGAATAGCAAAAAATAATGTCTTGTGGAAGTAATTAATTTCATTTATGAAGTTAAAAATTCGAAATAAAAACCTTTCAAGTCTGTTGAACTTTAGATTTTGCTTTGTAATGACTTATCATTTCCCTGGGATCTCCAAGAATGAAGAATCACGAAATTTTGTTTATTGATTATCAATTTTTCTTTGCATTGAATCAGCGAAAAAAAGTTCTTAAATTGATTGCTTATTAATTGCCATCATCATCTTGTAGTTTTCGATCAGTTTTGAATAAATTGTATCATTCTTGTTTACTGCTTCTTCAACATCATTGTTACATGTCAGATTTTTTTGTAGGACAATAATTCAAAAAGATTAATGAAGTTATTGTTGTAATTTTGACTGACTTGTCATTAGAATTCAATGGAATTTTGCTGGATTACATGCAAAAAATGTCATTAAATGATGATGACGCAAGGATAATTAAAGGATGATAATTTTTTACATCTTCTCAATTTTATGATAGACGTCATTTATAAACTACTTTATGTTAAGCTTTAATTGAAGCTAAAGTTTTGGTTTTATCATTTTTTATCAGTTAATCGTTCCACAGTAATTTCCTAATCTTTAGATTGTTTTGGATATAAAGACAGACCAGAAGTGATTTTTAAATCATTCAGACGTTAAGGGTTTCCCTTCACAGTTCAATTGAAGCATCAAACTACTAAAATGTTTGTTAAGTTAATTTTTATTTCCATTTTCTGCATTTTGGGTGTCGTAAGTAGACCAAATGGTGCACCACTAACTGCTTGTGAAACTATGACACCAATTCATCCTGGATTCCAAGAACAAACGAGTGTCCTTCCTGTAACCTTTGGAATCGACGAACCAATAGTGTCTGGTCAATCAACAATTATCAGGATTTTTGGCACTGACTTACTGCAATCATTCGGAGGATTTCAAGTTCAGGCTCGGACAGAAAACGATAGTTTAATTGGAACATTTCTCGAAAATGAACTTGTTGGCTTAACAGCTTGTAGAAATATTTCAGGATCAAGTGCAACACATCGAAATACAACCCAAAAAACAGCTGTTAAAATAATTTGGGTAGCACCAGTTGTTACAGAACCACTTACATTTAATTTTCAGTAAGAACATTTTTGATTTAATTAATTTGTTTTATCTTATCAGTGATTCTTAAAATTACTTTTAAGCGTGACGATTGCTGGAAGTTTTCAAATATTTTGGGCTAATCGCAGATCATTGCTTTTCGCTGTTTTACCAAATGACATGATATCGACAACAACTGAAGGTCCCACAAAAGGAACAACAGAAGGACCAACTACTCCTAAACCAAGTGATGAATGTAATTGCAACTGCAACTGCAATTGTAACTGTAATAATCCTTATTGTCCAGCACAAATTTAAACTTAATAAAGAATTTGCTTATAAAAACTCTATCAAAATTCTATTAAATGATAAGAACTTTAAGTCTTGTAATTATCAAACCTATATATAAATGCAATATTTCGAGAATGATTCGGGTTATTGCATTATATAGCTCGGAAACCTGTTGATATTATTATGGTTCTCCGTGCAAATCGTTTGAGATGGGCTGGACATCCACAAGATGCCCTAGTACTAAGAGTGACTGTTGCAGACTTTGTAGAAGGCAAGAGATCTAGAGGAAGATCAAAGAACACCTGGATTGGATGTGTTGATAAGGACGCTAGAGTGGTAATATCCCGAGCTGGCAGAAAGTCTTGAACGATAGAGCTGCCTTTAGACGATCTCTGAACGCTGCAATAGGCCCACGTGCAACCCAGCCAAGGAAGTAAGTGAGTAAGTATAAATAAATATCTTTAATATAAACACTCGGACGTTCTAGAGTCAGGTGAAGGAAGCCATGTGAAGCCGTGTGAATCCAATGATTTAGGGACATGTTTATGGGGTCCAAGTGGGTGCCAGATGAGGGAGGTGCTTTAAATATTAATTACGTAATTCAAAAAACAATCCATGCGTTCTAACATTTTTAAATCAAACCTCATCAGTTTTACTTTCTTATCTCGTTTGGATCTCAAATTCTGAAGAGTCATTGCAAATCAATATTAAAAACAAACCTAGATTGCGAATTTTAACATCAAATAAACACAAATTCTTTCGATTCGGACAAAATAACTTACAACTTACTATTTATTTCAGAATATATTTCAATGAAACATTTCAAAATGTTTCTTTTTACAGATTTTTCAGTAAATCTAAAACAATTATTTTTTTTTTCATTCAGAAGAAAACGATTAAATAAATTAAAGTATCAACAGAATATCCTCATCAAATGAGGAACTTTCATTTTATATATTTTAGTTTTCATAATTAAATTTCATTGTAGTGAAGAGCATCGGAAGGAACTTAGTGTGTGTGTGTGTGTGTGTTAAACATTATTGTTAAATATTTAAAGTAGTGCAGCTTCCATTTCACGAGTACGGGTCACTAGGTGGCTTAAATTACATTACAATCTCCAGTACATCAAAAATAAATTTGCTTTGCATCGTTGACGCTCTGCTCCATTGGACAGTATGGACATTTTAGCATTGACCTGTAATGATTATTGTTCATTCTGATCAGAGATTTGAAGGATATTCTTAAATTTTTAACGTTAGATTTTAGTGAAAATTATTTTAGGCTATTTCTAAGTTAATTAAGCATTTTGCGGCAACTCAAAAGTGTGCACAAATCATATCAAAAAAATGGCAATTAAAAAATTAAAAAAAGCTTTTAAAAAACAAAAATTCTAAAAGATTTTTCACTAAAATTTGGATATTGGAGACCCAAGCTACTCACATCGATGCACTGCTTAGCTTATTAAGTGCGTCTTTGCTGATAACATGACCGCATTTAAGTCTCATCGGTGGATTATCTTCAGTTGATTGCTGACGCAATATTGGACATGCGAAGATTGAATGATAACGATCAACGTCAATCTCAATCTGGAAGATGAGAATATAAATTTGTTAATTTGAGGATGACAAGTTGAGAAGTTATTTAGGATGAGGGTATAGAGCGCATTTTTGGGGAATTGGTTCAAATTGCCTACTCCTTAAAAACATGCTTTTCGTACACATATTTCTACCCTATAATTGTTTTCTGACGGAGTTTAAGCATAGCTGGACCACTCTTTCACAATAAAGACCCATCAACTTACCGGAAGCTCCTCTCGTCCATTCCATATGCCTTGAACCTGCCGAGACATGACTTGCTTCAAATTTAACAAAGCTGGTAAGGCGATACATCCAGCACTGACGATCGTTGACAAAGGAGATTCCTTATTAATTCCTAAAAGCTCACACGAGTCTTTTAAAAAGACATCAGCAGCCTCAACCCACATTTCGTCACGTAGTAAATAATTGTAAGGTGAGCTATTCAAGCCATTCTTTAAATACAACAGACAGCCCATAAGAACTTGAAAGTCCTTTTGAAATTTATTAACAAATTTTGATAAATGGATACGAGCGTAATTGATTGCTTCATTTTGCGATTGCAGACCACCGCGAATAATTTGCATAAATGCTAATCGATGAAGTTTAAACTCCAATGAACTATGTCTATCCTCTAATTGTTTAGAATATTTCTCTGTCCAAACGATTGCTGGCGCTAAATTTCTATGATGAATTTCTTCAAATATTTTATGAAGTTCAGCGTATGGATCCTCATTAATGATCTCTTTTGGTAGACCAGATTCTCTAATTAATGAATCTGCTATGTCCTCCATACCTTGACGATAAAAATGCTTTGCAATATTCTCATCTAGCAGCTGTATATTGTAGTCATTCTGAAAGAGATCTGATCTTACGACTTGATGATATTCCATGATAAAATTTCTATCTATTGCTTTGCCAACTTTGCTGACTGTTCCCTAAAACAACAACAAAAATAAAGTATGACACAAACGCACATAGAGTCATCAATTTTAAGCTAATTCACATGCAAATCTCTGTGATCGATTGCTAGTCTATGCAGCTTCTCCTTCGTTCTCGTGATTGTGCATTTAACCATATTTATCTGCTGCGGTGTCAATTGAGTCTCTGGTGGTTCTAAAAATACCCAAAAAATGACTTTACAAAAAAAACGCGAAAATTTCCTTAATTTCATTTCATGTCACAACTTACGCTCCTCGAGAGTAGCTTTCATGTTTTCCAATGCAATGATTTCATTTTGCTGTTATCAATTAAAAAATTTAAGATAAGCAATAAATTCAATTGAGCAGGTAGAGAAGAAGAAAAAAGAAAGTCAGTGAGCTTACGATAAGTTTTGATGAATGCTCGTTTATAGCACTAAATTTTGTTATCACTTTCTCAATTTCCGCTGATACTTTCTCTATTGCCTCCATTTTTTGATGGCTTTTTAATTTTGCAAATCTTAAATTATGTCAAAAATTCAAAACAAAGAGAGAGGAAAATTATTTTACATCTTATAAACTTTTTTTTCTGCTGATTTTCGATGTGTTGGTTGATTGTATGGGGTTTGAATATTTTGCTGCCGTTTGGGTTATTTTGGATGACTTATTAAAACTTAAAGAAGTCTGAAGATGTAAGAAAAAATTGAAAAAATTCTAGTCATGAAAAGAAAATTTCTTATAAGTTCATTAAATTTTAATGATAATGTGGGTTTTCTTATTTTTTTATCAGTTTAAGACTCACTATCCTACAGTATCGCCTGGAGATGAAATAACAAACTTTAGCCCTTCAGACCTTAATATCTTTAGCTGAGCGTAAATGCGTTGCAACACCAATAACAGTTTAACGAGTTGGCTAGATCTTCCGCTAAAACTTTGATGCAGTTAAGTGCCTTGCTGGTCGAATAGGTAAGGCGCTTGGCTCAAATTTGGTATGGTAACTTAAAGGTCGTCGGTTCGAATCCAGCCATTTCCAAATTTGTTCTTTTTCAGAAGTTTAGATACTTCGACTGCTTAATGTACGAGATCAAGTCATAATTCGGCATTTTGGGCAACGTTGGATTAAGGAACGGATCAGGAACTTGAAGTGTAGCGGGAGAAATAGGAACGAGAGCTACAAGATTACCTTATAATGGAATATTGTCAGAACGGACCTGAAATGTATCACGTCACGCCCACAGAAGATTGAAACGAGAGCCTGAATTTAATCGAAACCTAGATTTGAAGATTAGAAGCTTGATTCTACGTCACCCATAGTGATATGAATTGTATCACTAATCAATGTAAAAAGTAAAACATGTATGAATACTAATTCTTCCGGACGTTAACGTCGACAAATAAATAATAATATTAATAATAGATCTATTGCTTAAAATAGGTTTCGAACCCCTTCGCTTACGACATTCCTTGCTAGAAGCTTTCATTTAAAGGTTGTCTGCAGTAAGCAAAGTCGGTTATTACTAAACTAAGATTTTGTTTGGATTAGTCTGTTTTATTCTTACAAACCTAATGGAGCTTGAACCACGCTAAGTGTAAAATGAACATCAACTTCGCCCTCTAGCTGTAAGTTTTGTGAGTTTCATGAACTAGTCTCAAACACATGACAGCTGTGTCAATATTGTATTAATTAGCTACCGAAGTCTTTAACTATTTCGTCATCGAGGCACTTTAGTTCTATTCTCTAAGGCAGTGATGGGCAACCCATGTGCCGCGGCACACCAGTGTAAAAAAGTTCATAAAATTCTACAAACTGTTTGAGATGTGCAGCTTTGGTCATGTCTTATCACCTAGGTGTACCGTGACACAAAAAAGATTGTCTATCACTGTTTTAGGGAGTTTATAAGTTCTAGAAAAAATTCAGAAGAATAATAACGTCTCTGATATAATTTAAGTGCCATTTGGAAATCCTTTTAAGAAGCAACCAAAATTTATAAAAAATTATTTTATTTAAAAATATTAATTACAATCGTCAAAAATACAAAAAAAAAACCCAACACTGCATCCTAACCATAGTAACAGCCACAAAAAATTCAAAATTTCAACAAAATAATTTTTTCCGCTAAGGACCAAACGCCTTCCTCTACAAGGGTTTAAGTTTTTTTTTCTCTCGCTTCAAGTTACTTTAAAATCTTTAAAAAACTATTGATTAAAAGTGCAATTGAGATTAAAAAGTGCTCTTTATTTGTTATTTACATAAAATTGCATTTAAAAAAGTGTCTTGTGAATAAAATTTACCTTAAAAATTGTGCCCCTCTCGAGAAATTAAAAAAAAATTGTGATTGATTTTTTTTTCTTAGAAGAGAAGCTTCCTGTTTCAGTGAAAAAAATCGAGAGAATAAAGCTGGTCTTTTGGAATTTTTTTGAAGTTAGTCTGATCATTTGAGGTGGTAAGTAATGAGAATATTATTTAAATTCATGCTGTGATTAATGTGATTCAATTTAAAAGAACAATATAAAAAAAATGTGAAAAAAAGTAAATAAAAAAAAATCTGATCTATGCTAAACTTCTCCACAGAAGATATCGGTTCCATAAATCCAATATGTTGCTTTGTATGAACATGAATTTTTTTTTCCTGATAAAAATCTCAGAAAAATAATAAATTATGAATTTATATTCATTGTATATAACAATTAAAGTGCATTAAAAAATATTCTACATCAAAACATGAACAACAGAAAAAAAGTAAAATTTATGCTTCGATGATTTCACCCCCGCAAATTTCACATTGAATCGCAACAAAATAACAACAATTTTATCTCGAAACTCGTGCATAATAATTATGTTTATTGTAAATCAACCCCTCTATTCATCAACCTACATACACTTGCATCAATAACTACGATATAAAGTCCAGATATGATTATTATTTAAAATTTAATGTCTCTCACTCACTCTCTTTAATTTTAATCCAAAAATAAAAGTACTGAGTCATAATTTTATATAGCAGGAGAAAATATCTGTTATCATAGACTTGATGATTTTTTTTTTGTGCCATAATGCCTATTCATTCAACGACAAAAAATAACTTAAACATATTTGCGTCAAATTTAATAAATCATTTTTTTTATATGTGAAAATATTATTTTTCTTGAGATTTTTTTTTATTTATTAAAAAGAGGAATAAGAGGAAGAAGGAGGAAATTTTAAGTAAATATTTTAAACGCACTTCGTATGGATGAATGTGATTGTTGCTGTTATGTTGTCTTTTAGTCCACCGTGAATTTATGTGGATTGTTGGCGCAATGGTTTAGTGCTTTAGTGATTTAATCATGCAGTTTTAAACTAGCGGTTTTAGGTTCGAAACCTAGCATGGTGTTTTTGTTCTTTCATTTATCAAAGCTGTTGGAAATAAGTCTCTAAAATCTTTATTGAGAGGGACAAGTAGAAATGTTGACAATAGTGTGTTGAATCCAACTTAGAGCTGCATGGAACGGTTTCTAAGAGCACCCTCCCCTAAACTCCAACCATTTACATTTAGACCCCCGTTTAAAAATAAATCGTTAGAAATGCCGAATCCTTTTGACCTAGAAGCACTTGGATAGAATCAATTTTACCACACCCTTCTAGACCTACAGATCATACTGCAATCCAAACCAATTTTCACTTGAACATCTGGACCCAATTCCTCGTATCTAGACGTCATATATAACCAGCCCCTATAGTGATCTTCATACTTCATAAATTCAACCGATATACGGTAATTTAACTGCTGATCACACGACTCTGACTTTCTTCAATGTTTATCTTGTCCTATAAAATGTAAACATTAACAAAATAACCTCTAAACCGGTCTAGTTTACAATATATATGTAGATAAACTAAAAATACATCATGATACGTAGAACTTTTTATGATTTGTTATTTTTAAGATTGATATCATATAGAAGATGAGTTATTATTTGACAGGTAGAGATTTATAAATAATCTCAAAATTATGGATTAGAAATGGAGAATTGGAATTTATTAATAAAAATAGACTTATGAGGTGTCATAAAAAATCTGTTGGGAATTTTTTTCTTGTTCTTTTGGATATCTTTTTGTTCATGATGCTGAAATTGTGCCTTAGGGGGACTTTATTAAATCACACTCAAAATCTTAGTCAACACCTTAAGTTTTAATTAATTCTTAAAACTATTAAACCATCAAATAAACAGCAGAGTTTCAATCCACTAATTCATTTTCCATTGAACTTGTTTTCATGATATTAAGCATCAATTCTTTCACATTACAATAAAACTTATCTGATTATGAATGTTTTAATAATACAAACTTTAATGTGCGTCACTATGAATCATTTGCATACTGAATTTCATAATTTTTTCTAATATTTACGTTCTTAGCTTACATTAAAAAAATTAAAGAAATCATTCGGTGGCATAACAACCACAATCTTGAATTTCCAGCCACATATTGCCAATGATTTGCAAAATTTTGAAATTTTTAATAGATTTAAAGATTTTTTTTGGATTTAAAATTTTTTTCATTATTTTAAAAGTTTTTTCATTATTTTAAAATTTTTTTCACTATTCTAAAAATTTTTTCATTATTTTAATTTTTTTTAAACTCTATTAAACTTTATTCAATATGAGAAGCTTCAATGTTTTGTGTCATAAATTACAAACAATTCATCTCTAGCCAATTACCTATTAATAAATCATTCTGTTTGAACTTTTGATCTTTTTTTATTGATTTATTTTTGAAGCTATTGATTTAACGCTTAGAAGTTGGCATTTCTTGGGGCTCTGATTATGACTTTTAAAATAGATTCTATTCTAATCTAGATATTATAGATTCAGTTTAGTAAATTTTTAAACCCCAAAACAGTAAATCTTTAAAATCAATAATATGAAGTTTGTAATTTTTCGAGCAAAGTTTTCAAGAATTTGGGATTTCCCGGGCTAGGTTGGATCTTGTTCGATCATTTGATTCAGATTTTAAATTTTTGAATTTCTTAAATATTTACCTAGCTACAGATCTTACACTTACAATTGCTAGTCTCAATATTTATTCAATTACAATGCGCTATAATCATCAACATTTCCGCAGGACTTTACAAAAAATATCTACAATCACTATAAGTCTTACTATCGTTATTATTATTATTATTATTATTATTTTCTTACCAAACACATTTATAGAAAAAATTATTCATGAAAATTTCGTAGAAATACATTGAGTATGAATAAGCATGTCAAAAATACCAAAAACAGAAGTGAGCACGCGAATAGTTTAGAATGATTGAAAACATACAACAAATAGTCATGATTCATGGCAAGGTTTAAAGTAGTAATAATAAATAAATAAATAAAATATTAAAATTAAAAAAAAGTATCAACACTAAGCCATGTGACAGAAAATGTAAAGACGCTAAGTTGAGAAGTTTTTATTCAATATTTTAAAAAGAACTGAGAAGAAAATGCGATAAAAATAACGAAATGAAATATTTGATTGATGTTTTTGTGTCATAGCAATTAGTATAGATAAGTTTGCTGCCTCATTTTCTACTTCTCAATTTCGTTTGCTCCTAATTTAATTTTAATTAAT